TTTCAGAAGCGCTGCTTATGTTGAGCCCCCTCTCAGTAGCTCTCCAATTTTTAGAAAAAACAAATTAAAACTACACATTTATTACTCATTTTTCCTCACAAAATACTTGTTTAGCTCACTTTTTTCGAGGCTCCGCCTATAGATAGCCATTAGACACCGTGGGCTCAAGTATCGCAAAACGTATAATACCATCATAAAAAACTATGCTTGATAGTTTGCACATGATGGCAGGATCCAAAGACTTGCCTGAAAAGTTAGTAAAAAACCGCTGTCAACAACCTGATTTACAAATTTAAGCTATTTTTCATTACATTGCGAGAAATATTATTACCCGTTTTTTCATTCACTAAAGAGACATGAAGAGACATGCCATTCAGAAGTCTCCTACGTGCTAACATAGCGTAGAGAGAGCTCTATCAATTGCGATTCCATCAGTTACACGTTCATTCTGTCTGCCTTTCTTTCTCTTTCTAAATATCGCCAAAATTAAATCGACATTTACGAGGAAAGGAGTTTACAAGTGCGCAACAGGTGAATCTGCGGTTGACAAGAATTTTTCATCAGTTCGGAAATTTTTTTTTGATGTTAGAAGATATCGAGTGATACTATAGAATATACCCTATCCCCTACTGAGCGAGGGCCGTGGCAAATGCTTGTTCCGGAAGTCGTTGTATCCAGTATACAACTTCTTCCCGTCCAAGTGATTGTACACGCGTTAAGGAATACCTCAGTACCGATTGCCGGGTGGCGGTACAAGTCCGCCAAGGGGCCACTTTAGGTCTATTTAACATCACTAATACGTAAAAAGAAGGTGGTAGACAAGGACCAGTCGACCGAGGCAGTACCACCCGCTAGCTTTTCCCAGGGTGTCTTATAAATGTCCGCATGTTTCCACACCTAAGCTAAGCAGTCGGTTATCTACCAAAACAAAGAAACTAATGATGATGGATCCCTCGAGCACTAAAAACTCCGGACGTAAACTCACTCCACTCTCGGAATGTCCGGGTGGAGGGTGGGCTCGAGGGAACAACATCGAAGATAAAATTTGTTTTTCGAACATCTGCGGGATCAACAGCAACATTGATGCTGTTCATCACTACCTGCAATCCAATCGTCCCGCCGTGCTTTTCTTGGCGGAGACAAAAATCTCAGAGGCTGCACCGATTAACCATCTCAACTTCCCCAACTACGAGATGCACTCCAATCTGAGAAAGAACGGAAGAGTTGTGGCTTTTGTCCGCAGCAGTCTTTCCTGCTCCAGGGATCTTTCTTTGGAAACAGACCGGAAGGACATTCTGTGGCTTCGCCTCAACTCCAAAACATCACCCAAATTTATTTGCTGCCTTTATCGCTCTCCCTCGAACCATAACTGGGATGACCTACTCGAATACCTCGCTGTCCAGATCGACTTCCTGAACATCAATCACCCCGCTTCAGAGGTAGTTCTTCTCGGTGATTTCAATGCCCATAATGAGCTTTGGTTGGGCTCAAATAAGACCGATGCAGCAGGTCGTGCAGTCGAAGCGTTCGCTCTTACTCAAGGGCTGACCCAGCTGGTGACGAGCCCTACTTTTTCTACCAAAGAGCCGTTCATTTCGGCTGGTGGGAGTCCAGAATACTGAGAACTTGATTTGATACGAACACATCCCGCAGCAGCTGATAGGAAGAAGCTAGTTTAGTTGTTTAGGGCCCTCAAGTACTTCTCTCCACACAACCTTATTTCTCTGTACAAAGCCCAAATAAGTCTTAGCCTCGAGTACTGCTCACATGTTTGAGGTGACACTTCTCTAGTAGACGGTCTCGGGACTCTTTCACACCGACGTGCTTGCTGGCGATCTATCTCTATTCTACCGCTATTCCAATGGGATTTGCCCCTCAGAGCTCTGGCTCATGATACCACTGCGCGACGTGCATCCAGAACTGTCCAGTAGGAGCGCTCTTTTGTTCCTAAAGTTTTAAAATTGTGGAACAATTTTCTTGCGGAGGTTTTTCCAAATTTTACTAACCTTAAGCGGTTGAAACTTCGGTATCTCAAACCACAATATTGCAGTGTCGGTACCCCGGTGCTTACGCTTCCACCTACGCGGCTAAAATCCCCACGTTTATTAATTTATGCGATTATGTTTCTTTAATTAGTTTATCAGCTAATTACTATAGTGAGATTGTATAAAAGTGAGCTAACACCGGGCTAGCGTCAAGCGGCAGCCAAACACAGTGGCAATTCGCGTAGATTACATTGCAGCTTGATTTGAGTCAGGTTTTAGCTATCAACATATTCTACCTCAAGATAGGTAACTATATATACTGTATCCTGATATCCAAAACGGTTCCTAGCGCTATCTGTGAGACAGTAGCTAAACACAAAAATAAATTTATGCTTCTAACTTGAAAAGCATTTGAGTCTTTGGTTTTGCTACTGTCTTACAGATGGCGCTGATTTTCAATCTCATTTTGACGGCTCTCTTTGCGTATTTTAGTTGGATATCTCATTAGAGATGCGCAAAAAAATATTGAAGATCCTAAAGCCATCTGTGGGACAGTAGCAGAACCATACACTCTAGTACTTTTTGAAGGGGACATCTAAATTAATCTTTGTGTTCTGCTACGCCATCTCACAAGTAGCACTAAGATCTTTTAAATATTTTTCTAGGTGCCGAAATACATTACGTAATACGTTAATCAATAACTATATTTTTAATGAGTGATGGTCAATCTGCAAAATACTCTCTCTCTCTTTGAACTGCTCGTGAAATATATAAAGGAAATTGGAACCATTCATAATAATAAATATAAACCTTGCCACTAACAACTGCGCTATAGGTTGTTGAATCTATAATAATCTAACTTCGATGTTTATGTTTAAAATGACTTGCCTATGAACAATGGCCCTACTGCATTACAGGCACAGGCTAGACAACCAGTCTTGCACACCGTTCCATAACCTCACAAATTTTCTATTTTTACATTTCAAAACAGGAAAGGTTAAGGTTAAATTAAAGTTATTTGAGGAAACCCTACGATGTAAATTGTAAATATAGCACCGAAAACGAACAGCAATTATTGTCCGAACGATGTATTCGAAGTATCATAAGGCTCTCTGTTCAACAAATAAAGTATACAGATGTCTGTGCAATGGTTTGGTCACAGACGGTAGCACCCCTGGGGCCACAGCCCCTGCAGGCACTGGCATGCCCCCAAAAGATGCCAGGGTCGTTATATGTGGAGGAGGCGTGATGGGAGCCTCGGTGGCTTACCATCTTGGAAAACTGGGATGGGGTAAGGAGACTGTGTTGATTGAACAAAATCGGTAAGTTTCTTGATATACCTGCATTCGGCTTATATTTAACTCGTGGAAAATAATTAAAAAAACCCCCGTCATTTAAAGTATTATCTAATGATAGCTAAAGTTCGAGTTAAGAAAGCATTGAGCCTTCAAGGCATATTTTAAAAGTAAGATAAGCTTTTCTAAATATAGGGGTTCTAAATATCCTGACTAATAACTTCGAAAGTATGTAGATGACGCAGTATGTTATTCCTTAAGTTAAGAAAATACCACATGTTACAAAATATTAAAAACTCAGATGGCTCAGTGCTAGACTCAACACAGTATTGCAAACTACTTACACCCTGCATGAATAATGTCTAAAAAATGATATAAAGCTTAAACTTTTAGCTGAATAAAAGTAATCTTGTTTGCTTTTGATGAAACAAACTGTTTTTGAGCAAAACAATGTACCATACATATAAAGGTATACTGCGGACAATCTCCAAAATGTTTGACAAAAATCTAAAACCCAATTAAGTAATTTGGAAATTTTTATTTTTTTACATCTAATTTATTCCCAAAATTACTGTAGACATGGCAATCAAAAATTGAAATAAGAGTAATTATCTCAAAAGCAGCTTGTTTATCAATATTTTTTTCACCTTAGTTATTCCAAAAACGTCATTGTTGAGCCATTATCATACAGGGTGTTTAAAAAGCAATATTTGTTGTCTATGGATAGATAGACACCATCATGTAAGGCCCAAATGGTTCCTGTAATGTCATGCAACATGTCTATCAGAAAAGCAGCTTCAAATAATTTTGCTGATTTTTTATATGCTATGTATTTAAGTGTCCTTAACAAATTAATGTCTCAATGGTCATCAAAACCATAACCCAATAGGTCCCAAGATGTGTCCCATCTAGTTAGTATATTCAGGTATCACTCCTAATAAACTACCTACTCTACTTAGAAGAGTGGTTACAGTTAATTTGACTTAATCTGTCATATGTTACATACTTTGGGATCCTGATCCAATGTCTCACGGGGCAGAACAGGGTTTGCAAAAAGGGTCAATGGTGGCCTATTTGTCAGGCTTTACTTTTGCCACCACTACTACTAGGTTTGTACCAATTAAGATATTTGTTCAAAATGCTAAGATACATAACATACAAACAATTCAGCAAAATTTACCTAAACCACATTTCTCATAAGTGTGTTGCAGAGTCATTGAGTTTTGAACAGGAGTTATTTAAAAAAAACAATTTCCAACAGGATCCTAGGGGCATCTTTTTTATTGGGGAAATCCATATGACTTTTTTTCATGGGAAGTTTTTTATGTTCTGTAACCATAGTATCAGACCATATCAGAGGTCTGGTGCTTTGGCTAAACTTCTGGTTCCAAATATTTTTATTCTACCATCATATGATTTTTATGTATATTTGGATCAACATTTTGAAATTTTGAATATAACACACTAATCTTTTCCATTTCCTGCAATCTGGGTTACATTTCTAGGACATTAGAAAGGTAACAATTGTCATATTATTCTGTTTCATTTTTTGTAAATGTACAAGCCATTTATTTCCAGTATTGGTGGAGGAACAACTTGGCATGCATCTGGCCTCATAGGTGTGTTCAAGCCAAGCTTGTCTCAAGTGAAACTGACCAAGTCAAGTGTAGATTTGTACAAAGAGCTTGAGAATAAAGGACTGTCAACAGGCTGGAAACAATGTGGTAGTCTCAACATAGCAAGAACTAAGGATAGGATGATTGTCTTTAAGAGGATGAAAGCTCAGTCTGTGTGAGTTGTGCTTACTATTTTTATGTGGATTGATATATTACAGTAATTATTATTAACATTTTGTTCTTTATTTCTCTGGGACTTCTATAGGTCCTTTCTATAGTTATAATTTTTATTATTATTGTGCAAGGCGCCGAACCCTGTGGAAGGTTTAGAGGGGGCTGGGCACCCCCCTAGACGACCAAGCCTATCATTTTTTTCAAGACAATGAGATATATTGCTATATCTTGGTGTAAAAATTACCTTGCTAGACCTGAATCGTGAAATGTGCGCCCAACCCCTTATAGATATATCCTGCACTCTAATTGCCACAAAGGCTTTTTCTCTCAGGTACATCTTAAACATACAGCCCCCATTTTCATCATCATCAATCAATGTCATATAACTATTACAATTATTGCTATTGCATCAACTTGAATTTTGCAGCATTCTTGTGTCGTTGTCGTAACTCGTATAATAATAGTACTATAAAGTATAAAATATATATAATGTAGTAAAACACCAAATAAATTACATAGGTCCTGGGAAATTGACTGTGAGATACTTACTCCTGAGCAATGCAAAGAAAAATGTTCCTTGTTAAGAATTGATGATATAATTGGTGGCTTGTGGATACCTGGAGATGGTGTAGGTGATCCATATGAAACTTGCTTGTCTATAATATCAGAGGCAAAAAATATGGGTAAGATTCTATTATTATCTGATATGGCATTTCATTTTGTTTGATGCAATTCTTATTAATTAGATGAAAGTCAATGTTTACATTCCTTTTTTAATAATGATGCAGATTATCCTTGGTTTTCACTATAATTTTGGAAAAACGTATTCTACATTCGTACAATAAAGAAAAGCCATTTAAATCCACTGTATTGATCGCTGATGAGATGAACTAATAGTATTTGGTTTTTCCGCGTACCGATAACACTTGATCATAATATATACCCTATTTCACGAGTATCGATCACGGTAGAATGGCAGCTGGTTATCAATATTTCAAAATTCTCCATCTCGGCAAAGGACACATAATTCTGACGGATCCGTCATGCCAGGTAGACACCGCCATATTTTGTTTTGGTTCTTTGAACGCTATTGATTCATTTTGTACTTGTTAAAAGCTCTTTTATTTAGAAACGTTCATTTACAGACTAAAAATAAAAAGCTACGAACATTTTTTTGCTAGATTTACAGCCGATTCATTATAGCCAACGATGCAGACTAACAAAAATGTCGCTTGCTGATCAGCTGTTCACCTCAGTAGACGTCAAAGCGTGATGGATACTCGTAAAATAGGGGTGTATTTTTTTTTGAAATTTCGACAGTAGAAAATGAAGGTTATTCTCTTCACCTTTGCAGCTTCAGTATTGGAAAAAGATACTTTGTATACTTTATCCATTGTATGAAGTTAAAAAAGTGATTATAATGCTTCATATTTTTCCCACAGGAGTTCGCGTGATTGAGGGATGTGGTGTCAAAAAAATAGACCAAATTGATAAAAGAGTATCAGGAGTTGATACATCCTTGGGCTACATAAAACTGTGAATACTTGTAAATTGCGGTGGGTTTTGGGCTAGAGGTATCGGTCAGCTCTCAGAACCCAATGTAAAGTACCTCTGCATGCTGTAGAACATTACTATCTCCATACAAAACCTATTCCTGGACTAGATCCTCTATTACCAGGTATGTTTAAAAATGATTGGGCCTATAGTCGCTTATACAGCATAAGAAAACATTGTTTTTACTATTAAAGTCTAATTTATTACTTCCACACTAATTTATTACGACACTTGCAACTAATTTATTACAACATGACCATGTCGACTGGACTATCGCATCTCGCGCTGCTGCTGAATCATCCTTGACTCTCCTCTGAGTGTGTCCTCTCTGCCTTCTCTGTGTATATTTATCTTCAGTCGAGGAATTCGGAAAGTATGCTCCCGCGTCTTGATCGAAATCCAGCATTCGTGAAATCGTCTAGTTGGCGGTAGATGCTTCTCGATGGCTGCCGAACATTCTCAATGTGACGCCAACGCTCTCGATATTCTGGTTGCTTAAGTGGTTGCCTAAGCGTCGATGTTGCAAAGCTGCCTCATTGTTCCTTTATGGATAATTAAATAATAACTGATTAAAATACATTGCAATACTTGTCCAATGAAGGTTCGAGATATAGGAACTTTGTGATTTTTTATGCCAAGTGTTGAGTTCTAAATCGACTATTGACCCTATATTATGACTTTTTTCTGTTTGCTGTATTTCACTGATAATGTCTTAACAGCTTTTAATAATTATATCTTATCTGGGAAATCTCTCCGAGTATTATTAAAGATCCTACAAATGTTGAATGATATAGTCATTTTTCTTGAGTTGTGGTATGAATTTTATTGCAACATTCAATTGTTTTTCTGTATTCTGCAAGCGAGATTGCCTAAACATTATGAGACATCTGGTGGATAGTAAACTAGCTGAACGTTCGTTTTTTCAACAGTTGTTAGAGATCAAGACGGCCATATCTACTTCAGAGAAAACAAAGGTCGTTTACTCGCTGGCGGATTTGAGCCAATAGCAAACCGGCTTACGAAGACGGTAAAATTCCAGGTCAGTGTTAGCTATTTTGCATCAGCATTCCAACTGTTAAGGAATAATGAAAGGTCCATATTTCAGCAAGCAGCAAGGACCGAGCATTGCCTGAGGATTGGGATCATTTCCATGTGTTAATGGAGCAATTGCTTCATAGGGTGCCCAGTTTAGGCAATGCTGTGTTGGATAGGCTTTGTAATGGTCCTGAGGCTTTTAGTCCGGACTGCAAGTGGATTGTAGGAGAAACCCCGGAGGTATAGACATTTTCATTTACCCGTTTCATTGCTGTAGGAATGGGAAATTTGTTTTTCGAGTCCACTGTGTAAATAAATAGGTCCGTTTAACTATACGAACATGGTTTAAATACAGCAGTTTTTTAGCCTACCTAATACCATGGTTATCTTGAGTCTTTGGTGTATGTGTTATAAGAAAAAAATAGCTTATCTTTACAAAATATAAAAATATACGCCGAGTGAGGAAAGTCACTTGAACACCTTGTAAAAAATTAGCAAGCATTCATTTTCTCAGATGCATTTCGATATTATTTCAGATCAGAAATTACCTGGTAGCTGCAGGGATGAAAACTATCGGTATCGCGGCAGCTGGTGGGGTTGGAAAAGCTACTGCAGAGCTTATAGTAACTGGCGACACTGACTTTGATATGTACGAATTAGAGGTGTCTAGATTCTTAGGTCTCCATAATAATAGAAAGTTCCTAAGGGACAGAGTAAGAGAGGTTCCAGGACTGCACTATGGAATTATGTACCCGTTTCACGAGTTCCAGACAAGTAGGTGCCCTAAACCATTAGTTTATTTCCATGTAGTATAGAATTAAATTTTCTATCGAAAGCGTTGTTTCTTTGAAAATACTGGGTGTCCAGTGGGAAAGTTCACATTTCAAATTTGAATTACGCAGCAACCGTATACGCGGACGAAGCGGGAGACGGGGATCGACGCGTTCGGCGTGCGGGTTAAATAGTCACAATGGAACGTTGGACCGGAGCGCAACGTGCTTTTGCTATCGAGGCTCACTTTAAGAGTGGTGATTGATACGCAGCTGCCCTTCGGAAATCTTGTACACGATACAACATTCGCCGACCAAGGGATGCCCCAAGTAAGACCCTATTGAAAAAGTGCATTAAGAGGTTCCGTCAACCCATTCCTAGCCCCACACCTACTGCATCAACCAAAGAAATGTACGTCGAGTAAATGATGTCATTGCATGTTATTGCAAATCCTCGGCGATCTGTACGGAAGCATTCCGCTGCTTTGGGAATCCCTAGGTCAACACTGCATGGCATAATGAAAAAAATGGGTTTTTTTATCCCCATAAAATCCAGTCAGTCCATGCTTTAAAGGAAAGTGATTACGTATTACAAAAATATTGTGCTGAACGGATGTTGAATCTTTTTCCTACGCACCGCAAACTCGAGAACGTTGTTTTCAGCGACGAGGCCCTTTGCCCTTTTCACTTGAACGGTTATGTGAACAAACAAAATTTCAGATATTCGGCACCAAAAGAGAAACATCAACAACAGCCGTATTTCTTTGAAGATACACTTTTCTTGCTCCTATTGTAAGAACAGAACGTCGATTTAACAGAAGCACATGGTTTCAACAGGATGGGGCCGCTGTCCATACTACCACAGAACAATTATGGACACGGTGAATGCACTTTGTCCTCAAATAGCTATATCGAAGTTTGGAGACATTCACTGGCCTCCTACGTCACCCGACCTCACGCTATGCGATAATTTTTTAAGGGTTCTCTAAAGTCAAAAATGTATTCCAATAATCCACGAACACTGGAAGAGCTTAAAGACAACATTCGACGAGAAATAAACAACATCACTCCGGTACTCTGCAAGGGAGTGTTTCAGAATTTACGCGCACGATTAGAGGAGTGTAATAATAAATATTTTCTTTTCATTAAGTCTGTTTTTTTTTTCTTAAATCAAAAGTGAGCTTTCCCACTGGACACCCTACATATACTTCAAAATGTATAGTAATCATTCACAGTTCAATTCATCAATTGTGTCAACAAAAAATGACAGTGTTTTTACACATATGCATAATCTGAAATCTGACGAATGGAATAATTTCAGTTCACCTTTCTATATCTTGAATTAATTATTTCAGGTAGAAATCTCAGGATGTCCCTGTATATACGAGAATGAGAGAAGCTGGTGCAGTTTTTGGACAGGTGATGGGATATGAAAGACCAACTTGGTTTGATCCAAACATCATACACGGTATATCACTTATGAAATGTAGAATATAACGTCCATTCATTCAGTCTTTTATTAATTCTACTTTATGTAAGACTGACCTTGTTTTCAGTCTGTTTATGGAGCATAGCCTTACTAAGGTTGATGCCACACTTATGACGGGCAAAGCGGCTGAAGGCAACCCCTCTCTCGTCCATCCAAAGGTTTTGTTTGTTAATGAAAGATATACCTATTTTTTCTCTTTTTTTTTAATGAAAAACTCCCTCAAATCCAGAAAGAGCAATGGACCTTGGATACTGTTGAACCTATCATGAATTCAATTTATAGCCCGTTGGCTGAAAAATGAGATCCTAATTAGGATCTGGCAGAATATAAACGCTCCTCTTAGGTATATCCCCGAAAGCAAAGATAGTTACCTCATTTAGCACTCTGTTAATGTCGGCCTGTGGGAATCAGGCTGAGCACCTCGTCATTATTCCTGATTACATGGAGAAATGGGATCTGGATGCCCATTCACTCTCTTACGCTGAATCTGTTTTGAGCCGTTTTAATTGACCAATCAGAGTCGCGCTATCCGGTCTGGCTTTCGAATAACAAAATTCTATAGTCCAGTCCCAGTAGGAAGTTTTAACATAATATTGCCGTTGCCCACGGGAAGTGATAAGCGTAGTCGTAACAGAGATGCTATGTACTTGTAGTTATCCTAGAGAAAACATCTATAGTTTCCATAAGCAAACGTCTACTTCATGCGCTAGGTGCTTTAATTGTCACCATACCTTTAGGGCTCCATCAAAAATGTGGCCAGTCCCAAATGGAGGCTAATATTCGAGATAAAGAAGAAACAAAAACACTTGCATTAAATAATTGGAATAAATAGTTATAGGTATTCACTAAGTTTTAATTTTTACAATTGCTTCTGCAAGATAGCCAAATGACAAATATACGCTTTCTTTGCAAATTTTAAAATTCTAAATAAGTTTTTTATGTTACAATGACTGCAACTCCTAAATCCATATCACTTATTTTCGTTGGTCAGCTTTTCAGATCGTTCCCAAAGTTTGTTTTTGTATGCTTTACAATATTCTCAAGGTTTTTGAGCGCCATCAATCATTTTTTGGAGAGATCAATTTAAAAAAATAGTGTTCTGATTTTGATTCTTAAACGGCATTTTTGACTCCAGGAATTTCATTTTGTATACACGGAAAATTTGAGAATAGGCATATGTGAATTAGAGGGAAGTACTGACATTATTTTTTTTTTTTCGGAAAACTTTGTTTTCAAATCATACAAGGCTGAAGACGATTTCAGTGTTTTGACAGTTTCTGCCTTCGAAGACAATTCCAAGTCTGAGAATCATAGTTATCTCATAGAAGTCCTAGTACAATTTAATAACTTTTAATTTCAAAAAGCTTCCATCTGTAATCTGGAGGCTGAACAATAGAAAGCATGCCATGATCACCTAGCCATACGAACTAAGGAATAGTGCTCGAGAATTTATAGTTTGGCGTATGGACTGAAAACTAAGTTTGTAGATAATAATTTACGTATTTTTTCTTCCATACGTTGGGGACCCTATGAGGTGGGGGCCCCTTATCATTGATATGTCGGTAGCTAAGCCTCTTCTTATCCTGCCATTAAGTTTCCTTTATAAGTGCTACTATATAAAATTCATATTTTTGTAGATACAGAAAATCCACACGATTGGTGTACTCCATATCGGATGGCTTATACAAACACATTCGCAAAACCACCCTGGTTTGACTGCGTGGCTAAAGAGTATGAAGCTTGTAGAGAACGAGTGGGGTTGGCAGATTATTCTTCGTTTACAAAAATCGATCTATGGGTAAATATGGATATGGTTCTTAATTTGAAATAATATACTGCTTTTGTCCGCCCGTCCAACTATGCACACGCTATTTCATGCTCATCGGCAATCACCAGAATGGCCTAAATGTCGAGCGAGGACAGTGAATTAAAGCAGAGCAAAAGCATCCCTTAGCATTGGCATAAAGTCTATTAGAATACGACAACTCAAATACCATATATGTATTAGAGTTTGTTGTTTACAACAAGATTGACTCAATGCTGCAGATTTCCCAGTGTTGAAATTTGACACTCCTAAAAAATGATTCATTTCTCTTGACAATGTGACAAAGATCTTAATCACCAGTAGCCCATAGCTAGTAAGCATAAAGGTATTTCAACTCACGAACTGTCATAATTTCAGTCTGAAGGTAACGAGGTAGTTGACGCCCTCCAGTATGTCTGTTCGAACGACGTAGATGTCCCAGTTGGCAGTATCATTCATACAGGGATGCAGAATAAACATGGAGGTTACGAGAATGATTGTTCATTAGCCAGATTAGCTGAAAATCAGTGAGTATTTGAGAAAACTTATAAATTTTGTCGTGTCACCGCAACTATATAATTAAATATAACCATACAAATCACCTGATCGGGCTAGGGACATTTGCGAACATTGTTAACTTGTAAGTTACTAAATATTCCACCAGAATTGCAGACAAATTTGCATGAAAATTTAGCTGATTGATTTTCAGGCAAGACCCGGCACTAGCAAGAAAGTGACAGGAAGAAACATCTGTTTTGTTAGTGCGCGTGTGTCTGATCAATATGTCTGTTGCATCTTGCTGACTGCAAAACGGATATTACTGCCTGAAGAATAACATATGGCTTATTGACAAAGCTGAATTAAAACTAAATTATAACAAAATAACATAAAATTTCATATCTGCATAAATTTTCACACCATTAGAAATTATTGAATCAACAAGTGTCGATTTAGGTAACGTTAATTTAAAATGCTCTTTTTGTCTAATATCGTAACTTAGATTCAGTTTTTCAAGCTTATATTTCCAGTAATAAGTGTTGCTGTTCCTAAAATGAAATGTGATACGACAGTAATTATTTTAAGGTTTAGAAATAAACGCCTGCTAAAAGATTGCTGGTAGTTATATATCAAATTATTCGTTTGGTAGACAACAATTCTGAGAACAGATACATCTAAAGGGAATGTTATTAGTCTATGTTCAAATAAGGCAAAGTAACTGTTTAATACTATGCGTTTCCCTACCTACTAATTTATAGTAATAATAGTCTAACCATAGATGCGAAAAAATTGTAAAGTCTGGTTTTATTGGTGCAAGTTGTTTAAGGGGGTATTTAAAACATGGACGCATAAAATGGGTACACCAATTTTTGTAGGAAAACTTTTTATTCAACAACAAAGAATGACAACACGTGTTTTTTGAGATTCAATCCAAAGTGTTGTCAGGAACGAAAAAACTCTCCATATATGATTTTTAGATATTAATGAGACCTACAAATGAGACCACACGTAAAAAGATCCGACTTATACCAAAAAAGTTATGACCGAAAACCGAGGCAAACTGCAGGCTTTGAGACTGGTTGGTATGCTACGACGCTACATTGGTCAAGTAGTTTTTGAGAAATTCTAAGTGTTTATCGCCAAACACCTGTTTGCCGGCCATCACTACTAGTTTATTGAGCAATGTACAGGGTTAGTACAAAGGGCATTTTATAGTATAATACACTAATTTGCCTTGCCAATATGAATCGCAATGCATTCCGGAAATTCCGGAAGATAAATATTATTTTTGTGCAAAAAAGAATGGTTACGTGTTTTTTTCTAGACAAACTCGGACATATCGTATCTGCGTGTTATTCGCAACAAAAGATCATAGACACATCCTCTTTATTTTGAAATGTGTATAGTAACGTATGTTTTTCGAATATCGTAGCGCATTGCTCAATTACTCACAAATAATACATGTTTGAATTTGCTTGCTGTTTAACGGTAGTGTTTGAGCAAAAAGTATTAAAATAAAATTTTTATACTGTAACTTTTAAATTGCCGCGAGTTGAAATTTCTGGTTTTGATAGAACATGAATAGTAGCCCTCTTCCAAGCTGGATTTTCAAATCGCCGAATAGCACTGGATTTGGGTATCCCAAGAAGTTCGGTTATTCGAACAATTCAAGGATTCCAAGAAACTGGCCTCAGTTGAAAATCGCCACGCAGTGGGCGTCCTCGAGTAACAGATGATAGGGAGAATCGTTACATTGCTCTATTTGCCCGAAGGAATAGATTTTCACAAGTACAGCTATCAGATCGCATATTCAACATACCTTTCGAAGAGTTGTTTCCACTTCTACCATCAGAAAAAGATTGCGAATGGCAAATTTGCGCCCTAGAAGACCTTTAAGGGTTCCACGTCTTACTCGTAGACAAATTGCTGCTAGAGAACATCAGGAGTGGCTTTTACCACAGTGGCGAAATGTGGTATTTTCAGATGAGGTTAGGTTTGGACTGGTGAGTGATGCCGTTAGATTAAGGGTTTGGAGAGTATCAGGACATCAACACCGACTAAATTTGGCCCGAGAACTTGTCCCATATCAGGGCGGATCAATAATGTTTTGGGGAGGCATAATGTTTAACCCACAGGAGTCCTTTAATTCAGATCCAGGGGACAATAACTGCAGAAATTTATGAAGAAAATGTCATACAACCCATTATTCAACCTTTGCGAAATGAATTCGGTAACAACTTCATTTTTATGGATGATAATGCAAGGCCACATGGAGCGAGAAGGGTCCAGCGGGCTCTAGAAGGGGGCCAAATAGTGAGATTGCCGTGGCCTGCGAACTGCCCAGATGAACCCCACTGAAAACATTTGGGACACTAGCTCGAGCGTACGGAACAGAATAGATCCACCTACAATCCTAAATGAGCTGGCTGCAAACAGTAAATAAAGAGTGGAATAATTTACCCCAAGAAAACATTAACCACCGAATAATAGGAATGCCAAGGCGTGTTAACGCACTGCTAAGATCTAATTTTTGCTACCTTACTTTTAGGTGATTTTAATTTAAATTATTATGGTAAAGCATGAAAACAAGAAAATTGAAAGAAACCATAAACAACTATGGGTTCAAGCAAAAATTGAAGAGAGTACCAGAATAACATCATTATCAGAGACTTTGTTAGATCTTGTTATTGTAAATTTCGAATGTCAGGGATTAAAGCCTGTACATACACCTAAAGTTAGCGATCACAGTTGGACAATGCTGCCCTTGGTAGGGCATTTTCTGATACAAAAATTAAGAAAATCGTAAATACTATTAATTACGAAAACTTGAACGAGAACTTGCTGGCTGCTATTGGAATTTTGGTGAGAATATGGAAAAAATATATGACAACATAATAGGAAATATAAAAACTTGTTTAGATCTTGCAACTGATAACAAATGAGAGCCTCGACAAATAATACTCCCTGGTATAACAAGAATATTAAGGCAGCTCAAAATTCGAGAGACAAACAATACAATAAATGTATATTCACAAATCAAATGATGATTGGGAGGTATATAAAACTACGATAAACAATCGATAATAACAAGTGCGACAGTGCAAAGATGTGGAAGACTTTAAAATGACTGATCAATTCGAAGCCGCATGATTGTGTAAATCAAGTTCAATTCGAAAACGGTACCGAAACAAATTCTTTGGTGATTGCAAACAAAACTAAATGAATATTTTGTGGAAAGTATTGTTGATATTGTAGGTACTGCCAATGCTGCACCTGTCTATATGAAAAATCAGTTTCCAGGGAAATGTTGCATACACTTTCAAAATTTCACAGCGTATCATTGAATTATCTAGAAAAAAAGTAAAACAGTTTAAAATCAAATAACAACTGGCCGAAATGACTACTTAAAAACGTGCTGAAAAACTGTTTCGATATTTTGGGATATCCTGCTATTAAATTGGATCAATTGTTCACTGAGAAGCAGTTCTTTCCCTGAAAATTTGAAATGCTCTACAATAACACCAGTTTCCCAAATAAAAATTCTAAAAGCTGCAGCGATATGAGACCAGTAAATGTGTTACCAGACATTGAAAAATTATTAGAGTCCATAGTGCATGACCAATTAATGCAGTTTATAGAAGAAAACAAAATTTTAGTGGAGGCGCAAGCAGGCTTTCGAAAAAAATATTCCCAGAAACAGCTTTCCAGTTGGTAACTGAGAATTGGAGAAGAGCCATAGACTCAGAAGAAGTTGTCATAGCCGTATTTTTGGATTTTTTTTTTTTTTTTTTTTTTTTTTTTTTATTTACATAAGCTGCATCAGCTAATTAGCTATTAGCAGCGGATTTAATGTGTACATGAATCAAATTTTATGTATTAAATTACAATGGCTCAAGAACAACATTAGATTTCGGACATTGCAGGTGGCCTCCAATTATGTCTTTTAGAGTTTTTACCACAGAGATTAAACTGATGTCTTTGTTGTTCGAACATTGGACACTCCACTAGAATGTGTTTTACCGATAAAACGCTTTCACACATAAAACACATTGGTTCAGGTCACGGGTGATGAGGGTAGCTGTGGGTGATTCTTGTGTGGCCCCAGTCGGAGGCGGGTTATTATCACTTGCAGTCTCCTTTTTTCTGTTACTGTTTGCAATTCGTTGAGCTTGGGTTTCACTTCTTGTAGCTTGGAAGGCTTGTTCCTCCACACACTATTCCACTGGTCTATTGTTTTGCCTTTTACATATACCTTCATATCTGATGCTGGAACTGGGAGGTTGCAGATGCTGTTGTTCGTTGCCGCTCTTTTAGCGTTTGTATCCGCTGTTTCATTCCCTGCTATTCCTTTGTGAGATGGAGCCCACATAAGTACTATAATCTGGTTATTGTTGGTGAGTTGAGTAATTGTTTCTTGTATTATCTTGGCTATCGGGTTTTTTGTATATAACTTATTGATGGAGTATATTGAGCTAAGTGAGTCTGTAATGATTATCCATTTTTGGTCAACGGTGCTTTCTATATATTTTAATGCTTCCAGAATCGCGTAAAGCTCTCCTGTCAGAGTAGTGGCTGAGTCCGGAATCTTCAAGGTCTTGATGGTTGTTGGTGTAACTATTGCTGCTCCGCAGTTTGATCCTTGTTTCGATGCGTCGGTAAATATTAGCTTGTGGTCAAGATATTTACCAACGATTTCGTAGAAATTCCTCTGTATTATTTCGTTAGGGGTGCTATGCTTGTCTAGTTCTGTTAGCTGGGTATTTACACGAGGAAGCTGAACAGCCCAAGGTGGTGCGTTTGAGACTTTGACTGGATATAATTGAGGCATTTGGCTTATATTCAACTGTATTAGGTGAGATCTAACTCTTCTGTGTAGTGGTGGAATGTGCAATGGATTTCTGTCGTATTCTATGAGGGTGCGTAGGTTTTTAGAAGTGGGAGCATCTGGGTTTGATGCTGTGTTAATGATATATGATGAACTGAGAATGTCTCGTCGCAGTTGCAGTGGGGGTTCTCCTGCTTCGCAGTATAAGCTTTCCAGCGGTGTTGTTCGATAGGCTCCTAGTATGATACGTAAAGCTGTATTATGTACCACATCTAGATGCTTTAATATGGTTTTTTTGGCAGATGCATACACGATACACCCGTAGTCTATTTTTGATCGTATTAGCAGTCTGTAAATGGTTAAAAGTGTTTTGCTTTCTGCTCCCCAGTGCTTATGTGCTAGACATTTTAACACATTAATTCTCCTTTGGCAAGACTGAATAAGCTGAGTGATATGTTTTCTCCATGTTAGACGTCTGTCAAATGTTATTCCTAGAAACCTGATTTC